CCGTGCTGCTTCCTCTCGCTGTTTTGGCGAGAGATGAATTAGGAATTATGAAATAGCACGTAAACACGGATCCGATCGCGTGCTCGTCGTTCGTTCGCGCGGCGCTATCCGAGGTTCGCGGCGCGAGATCGACGGACGTTCGTGACTAATTTAAGATGCGCGTCGATCCATCGAATTCACGATTTATGGCGTTCGTGATGATCCTAAATTTAAGGACAGAAACACGATGAATTGGCTCAATAAGATACAAGAGCGGTAAAAAATAAATACAGAAATGCAACTGAACAATAAACAACATTTCAATCCAAAACTGGTATTCGCTTACGTCAGAATTTGACAGGAAAAGTCTTCATTTATTTTATACTTCAATTATACTTGCTTTTTAATTATAAGTCTTACAATTATTATCTTATTGTACATTATAAAGTTATATTCTGTTCTTTAGTCTTCGTCTTATTTTTATACTTTTCATCGTATCTCCGCCCTAATTCTGAATCGAGAATTCGTTCGCGGGAATTCGTTTGCATCCAGATAAGTATACGTGCATCCCAGACTATTTGGAGTATCGATTTTCATTTGGCAACCGACCCGTGTAACCGACAATCTTCGCTTAGTTGATGCAAATGAATTTACGCGGTGGATTTGGGCGCCTCGAATTGGAACTCGATTCTCGGACGTGGTGCATTCTGACGTCTGGGATTTTGCATGCGCGAGCACATCGCTTCCCAGAATTCGGAACATTAATTTACGGGCATCGAATTCGTCTCAGCATTACAATCACGTCATGTAAAAATAAATTCAAAGCTGATCCTCACAGATTATACTATTATCATATTATTATTTCTCCTTAGAGCTAAGAATATCCTTTTTTATTTAGTTAAGTCTCATTTATTTCATAGCGAGATGCACACTACTTCGGTTGTAGCAAAAACTTTGTTTGGATAAAATAGTTGTATTTTTTGTTACAATAGCCGTTACCTTCGTATTTATATATTTATATATGTATATTATTTATATTTATATATATATGTATCTATATCGTTATGGTATCTATTAGGGTAGGTTGTGCTTCTTGATATTCGCTAATAGTATTGTTAAACTTTAAAAAGCTTAGATTGTAGTGATATTATCAATTGGTGCTTGCATAGAAGCATCTCTCCATTATACGTGTCTTATAATGTATGTATGCGCGTGTACGTGTGTATGTATGTGTATGTTGTCTTTGTATTTTTGTATGTATGCACATGAGAGGAGATTCGCACGATGCGCGGGTGTGTCTATAAATACTCATAGCGATCTGGCACCATCTTTTTTCTGAATCTCTATCTTCGGGCGTCCACTCTGCGTCGTGTCGGTTCGCAATTTCTTTCAAATGGATTTCGTCGAGCTCGTCGCTCTAATCCCGTTTTCTCACATTCTCTCTATCTCTCTCTTTGAAATTTGCACGCCCCCACGAGAAGTGAAGAACACATTCAAATAATTCCACGAGAGAATCGAATCATCCGCGATCCGGCTCGCATGAGATATTCAAAAGCAAAAAACATCCCAATGAAACCGAACATCCTAAGTATCGAAAATCGATGCGGAACAAAGAACGTATCCCTCGAATCCCGCTGCCACGAGATGTGATAAGGATTTTCCCTACGATCCATTACCTAATTTCCACGCGTCTCTCGTCGATTGTGAGACGATGTAATTGCAGAAGGAACGCGATCCAGTTGAAAGAAAACCGTGGCAAGTTCGCTGTTTGAGGACGAGCATGCATCACTCTCATGCGATTACGATCCCGATGGAGAATCACTCGGAAGGGATGGAAACCCTCCAACTCAATCTACACGCTCGGACCGACGTATCTATCCATAGGACAAGGAGAATCGTAGACGAGCGTCTAATCCATTCCGATCAGATCCATTCATCTCGTAACCGTATTTCGCGCACGTACGTCACACGGATCCCATGCACGTGTACCACAGAGCCCCGACGATCATCCGTGAGAAGCGAAATGTCCGCTCACGGAGACGATAATATCATCCTACAAGCGTGCACAGTTTGGCACTGACCGGCACGCAGCCTGATCGCGCTTTCTAATTACGTTTACACGCACGCTTGTATACGAAGGATTTATAGACGCCTCCATGTGTGCACATATGTGGTTTCCACGGCAACTACCCGGATTAATTTGGATTTGGAACAGCCAAAATCACGAGAAGAATAGAACAGTACAACGCGATTGTTAAAGACCCTGCGCGCTTAAATCATGTTTATCACGTTTTCCGAATCTAAATTTCCGAGACATGCTATCTCGACACAATTTTTGTTATTGAGATTTTGAACGCTCTTCGCGCGATAATATATTATTACAGTAAGCCAGTCTACAAAAAATCCAGTATTTTGTGTAAAAACTTATTTTATCATAAAAAATATACTTTATAGTTACTTATGTTGAAATGAAATCCTTCATATTATCTCTTACTTATATTTTGTATTGTTTCATTTCATTCTTCCCTTTAAGAATGCTATCAAAAACTTTAAAGAAGAGAGATTTGCGCATAAACGATTAACGAGACTGTGGCTGCTCATTTCCACTTCGCATCCGTGCACGAGTGGAGTGTGCGGCGCGGCAAAGATTTATCTACGATCTCGCGATAATATCACGATGAACTTTCGCGCATCCTATAAATATCCGCGAGTCTCCTGTTGTTGAGTCAACTACGCCCGACGTCGTTAATAGCTTCCCCTTTTTTCATATATATATATATATGTATATATTATATAAATTTAACCTTCTAAAAATGACAAGAATATATGTGTATGTTTACGTTACTGTAGTGTATAAGTTATGTATATGTACCATAAATAATCGTTATCGTTATTATTTATTCTTTGTCGTTTTAGCATTATTTTGTTTATCATTATTTATATATATGTATATTAATATTATATCGTCAATTTGTAAGCACATATCCTTGTTCCAAGCGCATTTCTCCTTCGTTATACAATTAGCCTCCTTACGTACACACGCGTGCACGATTACATGCGCGCACGTGCGTGAGCCACGTACACTGGGTGTCAGTTAATTGCGCACGTGCGTCGCACGACATGCGTACCACGCGTATTGCATATCCGGACGAACAACAAATTCGCGAAGGGAATTGTAAAACGAGAAGATTTTTGTTCGCCTAAAACGTAGGTACATATGTATATCTATATATATCTATGTATATATGTGTATATGTGTATGTGTGTGTGTATGCATGTTTAATGAAATATATGCAAACATAAGTGGCCGTGGCAGCGAGCCGGACCAAGCAATTTCTCGTCTCACTAAACTCGTCATAATTTATTATACGTTGATTTTGCTAAAACTAGAATAATTTACTAATTGTAAGTCCCTATAAGTTTCTTTCGATCGATACATATATACGCATGTACACACATCACGTACGTAAATGTGTGTGTATGCGTACGCATATATAATGTATATATAATATTATATATATAAGTATATATACTATATATATAATATTTAATATTTATCATATATATATATGTATATATATGTGTGTATATGTATATATGTTGTTGGTACTTTGGATGATTATTTCCACTAGATCAGAGTTTTCCCTCTCCGCTTCATCGCTCGCCTACCCTATCACCTACCCTATGCGTATTTTATATATTCTGTGTTTCATCCCCTATTCCTCCCATCTTCCCCTCCCTCGCTCTTCCTTTCTTCTGTTCTTTGGCTTTCTTTCGCGAACTCGCTCAAGACTTTCTGCATATCCGACTGGGCATCGCACGCGAAATGTTCAATGTTTTGTCTATTTCAGTCACAGGAATTCCGCATGAACACACATGATTGATCGATTGGGCATACCGAACTTGCATCCGGCAGCACGCGGTCCTCTTCTCTCGAAAAGATACATACGTTCAAATTTATCATTTTTAGAGTCCCGGCCAACATCGAATAAAACATACAGACCGGTATTCATAGTCGCGATTCTTATATTTAAGATTGTCTTAAATGCAGTCTTAAAACGTCATAAACCAATCAGAGAACCACATCAGCTCTTAAGACATTACTTAAGACGATCTTAAAATAAGAACTAACCGGCCATAGTTAATGAAACCATTGCACGATAATCAGACCCCATAATACATCTTAAATTCAATTCTTTTTATACTTAAGAAATAAAATCGAACGTAAAAAATATTACTCCCTAACACTGTTTGTTCCTGTATCGCAGTCTAAAGAAAGACGAGCGAAAGATAAGCGATTCTAAGACAAATATTGCAATTTTACGTAACGTTACCATCCTTATATCATTTTCTTTGGTTTTCTTTGTTTCTCCCTATTTTTTTCTACTTCAACAACAACAGAAGGTAGCGTCATTACTAATAAAAACTTAAAGAGGACTATCATTGGCGACATCGTCATCATCTGGACAATCACAGCCTAGCTGACATTTCTCGGGCGATGCTTAACCGATCAGGCAAAGTCGATCGTCGATCCATAAATCGGACCGAGCCGCGGGATCGATGGCAAGACGGGCGGGGCAATCGCGCGCCCTCACACGCGATTCCTCTCGATGTTCACGCAGGAACCACAACGGAGTAGATTATACTTTCGGCCGGAAACTCGCGCGTCACTTACTTAGCAATAATTACAATGATAATCACCATAACCATAGTAGTAATAAGAGCTATTAATCGCGGAGAACGAGCACCATGCGAACGCGCGCGAGTAGGACAAGACTTTCTCGCTTCCTTCTCGACGCGCAGCACGACACGCGCAAACTCCTCTTCATGCACACTCTCTCTCTCTCTCTCTCTCTCACTCTCTCACTCCTCTATCTGCAGTATATAAAATCTACAGCGCGTCGTACGTGTTTAAACCTTAAACGTTAAGGAGAACCCGATATCCGGCTGGGATGTCGGACCGGCGCTGAGCCCATGTTCGCTGCTATTTTCTTTTTTTTTGTATTTTTTTTTTCTTTTTCTTTTTTTCAAAGTTTTCAGACGCGTTTCGTCAGACGAGCACCCTGTATAGCGTATGATTGACATTTGTCTTTTTGGGAGAGAGATATCGGACCTCATCCGCGTCTTCGGGACGAGCCTGCATTTTATCCTACTTTCATCAGTCGCGCGGGGATTATTTATCCGTCCCGTCGTCGTCGTTGTCGCGCAGGATCTTCATCGCGACGACTAAATCGTTCGCTGCGTACGAGTATAGAAGATTCGCCAGCCTCTCGTACTACGGCGATCGTCGGAGCTGTTCTATCCGGCCGACGGACACGACGATCCGGCCTCGTCGAGGGTCCTCGTCGAGGATCAATCTGACCGGATGTACGAGTTGGGCAAATTTTCCTCTGTCATGGCATCTTTTCCGCGCTTTGTATCGGCGGACTGGCAACGAACACGACGAGACTCCTAGGAGTGTTTTATCGACGGGATATTTCGTGATTTAGCTATTGTCGGTTTGATGTCGGCTGGACGATCGTCGCGGCGCGATGTCGTGACTCGCGCGTGTAACTATAACGGTGTCGCCATGTATCCGGACGACATGATCGGTTTTAATATTTCCAGTGCTTCTGGCAGATCTCTCCGGATCCTCGAAATGTTCGCGACAGGTTTCGCTGCACGCTCATGTCCATTCGCGCCCTCGTCCTCGAGTTCAAACGTAATCTCTCACCTGGCAGTAGGGACCAGAGGCTAGACTCGCGGAGGACAGAAAGAAACATGCAGATTTGTAGTGTGGGATTGGACGAAAAGGAGACAGGGGAAAAGCCGATGTTGCCTATCGATGGATTCCGATTATCTGAACATCTGGGAAACGTCGTCTCAGCGTGTCTCGTCCTCTTCTCTCTTCAGCTCTTCTTCTCGGACTGGGTTCAGCGCAGAACATCCTTCATCGCATTCGTTTCAGCCTCTTCGCCGCCGCCGCCGCCGCACGAACTTCAACGACGTTGAAGCCGTTGCTGTCCTACTGACTTCTAAATTTTTACCCTCTAATGAATTAACTAGCTAGTATACTAAGTTGTTACGGCGGAGAGCGTTGTAACGGTGATTCAACTCGTCACTCCTGATCGTCGAGCGTCCATCGAGTTCACGTTCTCGGACGACATCTGCAATTCAAAGCGACGATATTGTATAATTTCTGAGATACGAATGCGTAATAAAATTATTTATCATGTTTATCAATTAATAATGCTAATACTTAAAGAACTATATATAGACTTTACGTCGATATTGCTATTTTAAACTTAATAATTTTATCGCAGCTAAAAGAAAAATGTTTAATACCTTGTACGAACGCAAAAAATATCTTCTTTTTTCGCAAGAAAAAACTTACTCTGTTAGTTACGACATAGGGCGCGACTCGTCCAGATTTTCTAGGCTAGGACGTGGGTTAGTATGGCCGGCTGGCGTCCTTGGGCCTCTTCAATTGGACTTTTAATCGTTTCATCCCTATTTGGAAGCCGTTCATCGCTTGGATCGCTGCATGCGCGCTCGCTGGATTATCGAACGACACGAAACCTGAAAATACCGAACGTTGAATCCTGCAGTGTGTAACAGAATTTTTCATCCCTCATGAAAATCTTCTTTCGATTATATGAAAATGTAATCTTCATTTATTGATGTGTATAATCGCCAGAAAAGATGCCAAATACAATTTGTACGACACAGGCATTAATTATTAATAAATGCAATACAATATTAAATATAATACAATAAAATAGTAATTCAGTTTTATCATAATGACATTCATAATCAGGGAAACATATCTATATATGATAAGGAAAAGTATAGTTTTAGCATTTTTAAATAGTTATTATATTTTGAGGATAGTATTGATTATTTGGCAATTAAACAGCAATCTAGGCGAATCAAATCTTCCGTGAAGAATAAAAAGTTTTGGTTCATGAGCCGAATATTATCCTGGAAAGGTAGATACACGATAACGAAGACCCTCAGAGGGACCGTTTTCCCAAAAGATCACCACGACTTTCTCGGTTTAAACCAATTTTGATCATTAAAGCCGATCCCATTTTAGTTTCGACATCATGGTGATCTAAACCGCGAGTCCCTTCATCTTCTGTCCACCCACGGCTCTTTGCTTCACAAATTACTTTTTATTTTAAGACCAAAGGGCATCCTGATTAGTCTCTGGAAAGTTTGTGAAAAAAAGTTAAGTTATATCGAGTTTTCGTTGCATAATACATTAAAGAAAAAGATTCATATAGACAAAAATTTTATCTCAATCGCGATGGTTGCAATTATATAGCGAATTTTCGACAGAAACTGTTGCGTCAAAGAGTTTTTTCGTTAAATTGATCGCGGCGAGGAACATGCTTTTGATACAAACTTCCACATATTTTTTTCCACTGCGAGCATAATTATGACGTGTTGAGAGCCTTATACCTTTTTTGGGAGGAAATGCGAGTGTCTGAAACAAGAGACAAAATACACGGACGCAAACGTATGAATCGCATGTGGACGAATGCGAAGATCAAGGACCGAACGAACGCGAATGGAATCGTCCAATTATCTGTATCCTCATATTCTCGGATACGATTAATCAAAGGAACGCCAGCGGCTTTTATCCGCATTCTCTGTTTCGGTCCTCTCTGCATAGTCTCTAAAAAAGAACTGCGCAGTTTGATTCTGGCTCCATTGAAACGGCATTCATATTCAGTTCATCCGTTAATACGGACGAGACGAATTAAATTTCCATGATTAAACCACCACTCTCTGATTGGAAACGTGTAAAGTCATTTAGAGCACTGTAGTATGTGACTGATCAAAAGTTATAATAATAATCACAGACATATCCATGTATGTCATGATTATATTTTTACGTTCAGTAAATTATACGATTCAAAGTAAAAATATATTGAAAAATTTTTGTAAGAATATTGTTTGAGATATTGCATTATTTTTAATAATATTTTTTCTTATAGCTTTCATTAAAAATAAAAAAATTTTTTAAATCGTATAATTGTACAATATAATAAAAACGAGTGATATAAAAAATTTAGGTATGATTTCATATTCACTTCCGTTGTCTGGCGAAATGTGTTGACGTCCTTCGTCCTACCTTGTGTAATAGTTGTAAGGATTGAGTCAGATGGACGCATCCTTCGTTGTTGCTAGTCGTTCTGAAATTTGTCCGCAGTTACCGTCGCACTTACCAAAGCATTTACTCTGGTTGGTCGCCCGGTCGATGAAAACTTTGGATGAGATGACGTTGCCAAACGGGATGAACATCTGCATGAGCTCGCCGTCACCGAACTCCTGGGGCAGGTGGTAGATGAACAGGTTGCAGCCCTCGGGTCCTGAGATAGAGCATCCTACCATATAAATCAGAGCACATCTAAACATCTAAACTTGAAGTATAATACTCAAGTTAGAATGTTAGTTCTGGATGAGTTTTGTTCTTCGCAAATATAAATGATTCCACGCGAGAGCTTCAACCCGTTGGCGAGGTCGCCAGCGGGTACTGTTTTTCTTTCTGATTACTTTTTTCTTGTCGGTGTCGTCTTTCTTTTTCTTTGATGAATGAAGATGAATCTGCGGCAGACTCTTGACGACAATACCGATTTCTCTCGTCCGTCCGAGTGCGAAATGATGATGACATATAACATGATTTTGTCACCCACGAATGATGCGAAATGACGTGAGCATGAATCAAGCACGAAGTTAAATTAGACTGCGAGCAAATGACAGAAAATGATATGAAAATGACCGAATGTTGAGAGCAAAACGATTAGAAAGTCATGAGCATTGTTTCACTCATGATTATTAATAGAAATTTCCCGGTTTAAATAACGTTGAGTATTTATACTTTCAAATATACACACACAACACTGGGATTTACAACACAATGACAGATGAGGTGATGGATGCTGAAATGAGTGAATGGGTATGGATGGTGACGATGATAGTGACGACACTGATTACGATGGTGCGATACTCCCGTATTTTTGCCAGACACGATAATCCGTCGCCCTATTTTTTCTATATGAATATTCTAAATGATACAAATTTGCCGTCATTCTGCGCAAAAACTCTCCTACGCACACATCTCTTCCTATTCATATTATATTACAGATTAATTATTATAAATAAAATTAATGCAAATGTTAATGATATATGAATGTAATATAATTATGGTAAAAGATCATGAGTCACGACCTAGATTTTAAAATTACATTTATAATTTTACATTCCGTACTTTCATATCTTGCTCGTAATTTTATGCATTTTTGCACAATTGATTGTCCTACCCTTTTTCTTATGATCGCTTAAGTGAAGTAGGTCTCTTTTTCGACTTTCGGTGTTAAAATGTCAAAGACATCGAGGTTTAATTTAGGCCGATGAAGAAAATCCCGAGAGTAGAGGCGAAGGAGAAGGGAAGACTACCCGAACACAACGGCAGTCCAAATAAGGATTTAGCTAATTTCACTGAACTTTATAACTCCGACGTCAATTAGCGGCGATTATGACCGTGGAAACTTCTGCTCTCTTGGCCAGAGCTTCTCCCGACTAACGGACGCATTTAAGTAATGAGATGGCTGCTACTCAACTTTTAGGGTGCTACTCATCGCGACCTGCGTTCGCCTCCACCCAAAAGATCTTTTGCGGAAAGATTCCTCCGGGAATCCGTTGGAATATGCTAGTCGAATCATCGCAGAGCATAACTGTCTATTTTCAACCCAATTATTTCCGGTATGTCGCTGTTCAACGATAATATCGCATGATTCGTTGAACATATTTGCTGGTCGATAAGATTATCATCGCAAATTCCGGCAAAGTTTAAGAATTAATGCGACACAGACAAAATTTTACGACGGTTTTACGAGGATATTTTCATCTGATTCGGAAGTGATTTTCATCGATTGTCCGAGAGAGAGTAAAACTTTAATTGTAGTTGTCGCAAATAACGCACCGTGATCAACATTTGCAAAAGTTCGAGTTACAAAACTTGATTCACAAAAGGATAAAACTTTCCTATCCTCGAGCATTACTCTATATGCATTTCTGATAAATGTGTAATCCATGATATCGAAATTTGTAAAGTAATTCATTCGCGGATTGGAAAGTTGTTCGTATAACGATCTGCAATTTAAAAAAAAAAGAGCGATGTTCCGAAACAAATCGTCGATTTAATACAAACTTTTCCGTCAATTATAAATTAATGTTGTTGGGTACTTAGTGCCTCGAGAAATTACAAACCTGTTCTGCGGTTTACGCAAAGAGTGACAAACTCTCCCTCTCTTACGCGAAACGACTTCGTCCTGGTAATAACTCGATCGTGGCTGTCACGCGAAACCCAAATTAGCACGAGTGTCGACGGGTTTCCGGTTCCGACTGGGGAGAGTACGGAGGGGAATTGCGGTGGACGACGAAATCACGAAGAACGAGCCATAAATTAAAGCCCGTCGTCGTACCGCGCGCGCGATCGTTGATCCTGAAATTGGTTTTCGCCTCTCTAATTGGCACACACGCGGTACGTGCACGCGAATTTAATGAGAACGACTACCTTGTCTACTTCTATGTCTACTTCTGTCGAAAAGTAATAGCGGAACGCGCTACGTAAAACATCAAGATATCTGAAATTCGCAAATCTCCATCTCTCTTCGTATAATCAAATATCTGTTAAATTTAACAGTGTAATTAAATTTAACAGTATAATTTTAATATAACTAAAATATTATGCGACTTTGCATCCATTTTTTTAGAATATATACACAAAATTTATATGCAGAAGAATCATTTTTTTAACACAATCTAAATATTACTTTTATTTTTAAAATTACATGAATTTGAGTTTTTTTATGCAAAGTTGAATTATTTTGTTCGTATGACTGAACTGTATAACAACATATGTATTTTCGCGAGTGACGGTGTTGCCGATCGCGAAACGGATTCGTGTCGATTTTTCTCGTACAGATCACAAAATCTCGCAATGCACGTATCACCGTCTCGTAGCGAAGCAACAACCAACATTGGTCGACAGCGCAACACCGAGAACAGCCACTGACATCGAGTGCAACGGCGAAACACCGAATTAACGACGAACATCCGAGATACGTTGACGTAAAGAAAAAAAAAGATAAAAGAAGGAAGAGGAGAGCTATCCGCATAACGTTAAAAATATTATGACACAGTCATGGTCAGAGAGAAGAAATGTATATACGAACACCGAAAAACATCGTGTAAGACGTAGAACACCCAGAACAACGATCAAGGAACTTAAAGTAACACGGAGCAAGGGTAAACTCGCGAAGCGACAGTCAATAATAGATCGATACCACTGTCATGCAATGATGACAATAACGTCGATTCCCCTTCAGCTCCCTTGGGTTCCGTCCGATATTGCGGCACGCCTAACGACTTTGACATCTAACATAAGTTTCTCCAAAAGATAAAGTGTCTGCGCACACACGTTTTCTTTATTTTTACAAAACTTGTATCTAACACACAAGTTTCCAGGAAGTCAGCAATATGATAAACGTTGCTCTCTTTTGGGAAAAAAAAACTTTGGGAACTATTTGTGTTCTTGACAGTGTATTTTACACTTACACACAGAGAAAAATGAGAACAGATATTAAATATATTTGTCATTTCAACTATGCAGATTGTTCAAATATATATATAAAAACAAATAAATGTGAGATATATACATCATACGATATAATACAATTCTTCAATAATAATCTAAAACAATTAATATTTTCGATTGTTTGACGAAAAGCGAATAGAGTGTCATAGGTGATTTTATCTCGTAAAATATATCCCGTCAGGAAATAAAGTTATTAATAATTTTTTATCAGGGAAGAAGTGAGAGAAAAATCGCGTTGATAAATACGCGAGATATTTGTCATCACGTACGGGAAATAAATTCGATTAGAGATTTCTCTTACTCTCATCTCGTATATCGCTTACGATTTAGTCGCGACGCATGGGAAAATGTCAGAACGCATCGACGAGACGAAAAGATCAGGTGGAATGAAAATAGGAACGGTTAGAGACGAGCAAGAGGGGGCGGACATAGCGGTCGGAGCAGAGGGTTGAGGCCGGATAAAACGGAGGCGGGGTAGCGCTGTCGCGGTAAACTTTCCATTATCCTGCGATGTAACAACGGATCGCCGGCGGGCGTAGCGGCAAAGTAATTAAAACTTTCGTTTTATTTGCATTATCTCATTGCGAGGCGTCGTATATTCTAATAATGGCGAGTTGTTAATTGCAATTAGGCGTTGGCTCGCTCAACCCTCTTCTAACCCCGGACTTGCCTGGTCGACTTTTTTCCTGCCGTCGGCTCTCCTTCAGTACCTTTCCGCAAAAGATGGCATAGTAAATGACTAGTCCGCACCGATATATTTGAGAGACGAGACTCCCTGTCTCTTTGACCGACCGCGTTCTTTTATTCCGACTGGTGGTTTTCTAAGTAATCGCATTTTCATGCAATTTCGTGCTATGGAAATTAAACTATTGAATTGAAACATCCGTCTTTGAAGCAACGATCTTTCGATGGAAAGAAAACCTGGCAAATACTATACAGGATAGCATAAGAAATTTCGGTAGTTTTTAATAATCAAACGTTGTTGTATTAAACTAAAAATGACAAACGCGAAAAATTAAACGGAACGCAAAAGATCTAGGTCAATTTACTCAGGTATCTCTTACTCGTCACTTTTTTTCGCATAATCGAGCGATATCGCTTTGCGAGATGTGCAATTACGGTACGGTACGGTTTGCTGCGGTGGCAGCGGCGTCGAGAGAAGTCGAAACTCTTGCACCTCGTTGGGCGCCGACGATGGATAATTCGTGTCTGGACGTGTGTACGGGACGTGGATCTACAATCTCAGGTCTACAGACGTTCGTGTTTACAGTCAACAGTTAGACGTTGATGAGCGTGTTGTACTTACCTTCCCTCTGCGTGGGTGCCACCGCGGTCATCGGCTGAGGAATAGCCTGAGGAAACTGGCCGTAGACGGCGGGGTAAGCTGCGACAATAACAAATAACAAGTACATCATGAACTGTCCACATCTAGATCTGTGCGTGCCATTGCCTATCCGTTCCCCACATAAACCCTCTTTTTTTGTCCTTTTCCCAGGCCGTACTGCGATATCCGCTGTCGACCGTCGACGGTAAGAGCCAGCGACAGCGCGAAACCGGCGGCAGCCGCCGAACGAATATAGGCGTCGTAATTCAATGCAGCGATAGCGCATACATAATGGACGATGACAGTAATAAAAGCCGAACAGTCCAATAAACGTCAACAGATTCAACAGAAATTGCGCTGCCATCGCTAGACAGATTACAATGGTGTAATTTATGACCGTGCGTTTCAGAAGCGTCGGGAACGCGTAAATCGGACGCGACCATTTATTCTTGCGATTTGCCGAAGATTCGTCGCGAGGGGAAAAGGTTAAAGCATCAACATTAAGAGGATATTAAACGTAAAGAACGCGAGGACACATTTCTGCGTCATCTCTGGGGAGCATAAGATGCAATTCGAATTATGCGAGTTATTCCGGCCCTCGATATTAATGACAGATTCTATGATCGCTTTGGAATGGCAAGTCTCTCGAGAATTAAGCTTTTTGAACTTTAATTTAGATAACATCTATCCAATTCAAGTCAATTTTATTATTTATTCAAAAAGATTACCTCTCTCTCTAGACGTGATTATCAAGTGTTCGAGGTACGAGAAATGCTGATGAATATAACAAATGCTGATCGCCAGTAAAATTTTCTCTGCAAAACTGTTATATTCTGAAAGATTCCCGCATAATCTTATCGTTAATGCGAAATATGGAAATCGTGCTTCTAGCCAAGTGGCCTGTTTGCCCTGTAAAAGCGAGCGGTGTAGAAGCGACTCACTGATACGAAAGCTCGTCTCGTACAGGCGATTCCAGGCGGCATTCATCACGGCGTTTCTGCCGACAAGGGTATTCGTCTCTCAACGTTCTCACCGTACCGCGCGACTTTCAACACGATACTTTCGTACGCGAAACCGTCGCAGCCTGCGAAAATGCAGCGTTGCATCCGTAGTACGTCATTAGCCGACACCAGATATTTCTTCAAAGCCGATTCTCGAAACGACGTGCCTCATTAAAATGGGATACGAGAGACCTTCTTAGCGCAATGATGTAGCAAAAGTCGTCTATGCACAACTGTACAGAATATCCCGTTGCAATTTGCGAAATTAAATATTTAAGCAATCGAGAAAGGAACGTCCCGAGACAAACAACGTTAAAACGGAAAATTTTGCAGAGAGGACATACGATTCGTACGGAATAAGGTTCTGAAATTGGAGAGACATTATCGTAAAAGCGTTTACTTAATATCATATAACGAATCGACGGGGAGATCTCATTATAACAAGCTTTTTGTTACTATGAGATTTTATAACGTCTCGTATTAATGTTGACACCGTCAATACATTAATGATTATTCGATGTAATGAAATTCTAAGATAACAAAATTTTATTTAAAAGCGTTTAATAAAACTTGCTGTAATATAATATTTAACGAAATTGGAGAAAAAAAAAACGGCCGCAGAATCAATAGATATCAATATCACTTCTGATCAACGAGAATCGAAATGCGAAATATTTCACATTAAACAGAAGTGCCAGTTATATTTTAATTCGCAATGCGATCTCTATACGTTTGATGACAATTGGTTAGTCTGTAAATTTGGACCTCGCTATAAACGCGCGAGCCCAGCATTATACCGTTCGCTACACGCAACGTGGCAGAAAGCAAGTACGTCTTGTTATTAATTATAGCTTGATAAATATTTAAAATGCTCGTGATTGATACCTGTTTGTGACGGATAGGCGGAGCGTACGCGCGGGTTACGCTCTCAGATCGGCAGAGGCGAATTTTCGCCCCGGAATTAATTATTTCCGTGCAAACATCGCTTTAATATATTCCGATTGACGTTACCCGAGGCCCCCCCGGTGCGCGATGGATCAACGTTTGGCGTATGAAATAAATACGCCATCATACGTCGGAGCCGCGTCACGCTCAGATAGAGGTACGCCGTTATTCCGGGATTGCTTTTTTTCCACTCGCTGATCTCGATGGCGTATGTGTACTCTGGCCGAAAATACATAGAAAAAAATATACCGCTTTTGAGTCCTCGATAAATACGAACCGACGGTGCTCGCTCGCTCCTGTACGCGATCTATACGTTTGTTATGACTCGAATTTGTTGAATTTCCGCCGATACGTTGAAGGTACATTGAGAGACACGAAGACGGATTGATCGCTGACACGAATGGGAATAAATGATATCCCCTTTCTTCTCGTTATTCGCAATTGTACTTTCGATAAGCGGACAACGGTCGAATGGCGTAAACGCGGAATTTGTTAAACGTCCTCCTCCCTTCCTCCCGTTACTGAGAGTGATTGGAATGTAATAGAAGTATAGGTCCATCGAGACGCTGATTATCCGTGAAACGAGATCATCCATTTTGTGCCGGGCTTTATCGGATCATTTGCACCAATGCGCTGCACTTTGACGCTGCAACGTCGACGGTCGACGGCGAATAATTCGCCATTGGCGTTGGTGAGGGAGCATGCACGAGAGGAGACGTGTAAACGTTTAAAACTACAATATAATATGTACACGAAGTACATTTAGAAGGACATCGAAGTACATCGTAGCACCACAGCAGAAGCAGTATAGAACGAAACGTTGACGCGCACACGATCATGTATGACGTGTACGGTGTGTATATGCATGCGACTATAGTTGCATGCAAACAACCAGCAACGCGATCAGCGAAATCGAATTTTTTCGCAGGTAAGTGCTCCGACGGCGCCCGGATAAAAGCACGTAAACGTTGGACGTTCTCTGATGCATTTTTTTCCCTTTACATACAGACAATCTCCGACCCATCTCACGGCCACACGCACGTTTTTCGACCCGCTCAAGATCGCGATAGGCAACATTCGGGTGAGATGAGTATTCAAAGTGTTATCTAGCGCGTGCTAAAACTGATGCCGCGAACGTCGCGATAATGCAAAACGTTACGATAATACGTGACTATGAAACGACGCTAAAATACATATTCGTGAATTAATCTTAAGTTTACGGAGAAAAAAACTTGCGATCTATCGTTATAATTCCGTTCGTAAAGAATAATATATAAAAAATGTAATTTAATAATTTATATCTTATGAATAATAATATAAACGAAGTTTTATATAATAAAAATGTTTGAATAATTTTTTTATGATACATTTGTACAGTAATTTACAATCGATTAAATGATGATAAGTATTATCATCGGTTACGAAAAATTATTTGTTCGATTCAAAATAAATTCTACAGAGACGAACGATGAACAAACGTATATCCGTCTCACGTTACATTTACTTTTACTTCGATAATGACCCGTGAGTCTGCTTGGGTGGAGCTGGATGGACGAAACGCGCTACAATCATTGCACGGAAGACACGGACAGGGTGGACAGCACCTTGACAAGCCGTAAAGATAAAAATTGAAGCTGGGGAAACACTTACCGGCCACTCCAGCATAAGCCTGCATTCCAGGATACGCGGCGGCATGCTGAAGTGCCGCCTCCCCGTTGGCCAACCCCTGCGCTGGAATGGACAGATGGAGGGCATCTACACTTCAGTAAGCTCAGCTCTTATCGGGGAGAGGGGCCTAGTCTAGAGGCCCCTGTCGCAATACCCAGTAGGCCAATCAATACCGCTCGATATTTCCACCGGCTATATACTCGACTAGCAATAAGTACCCGAATGGCGATAAAGGACGAAGACTAATGAAGGATTGACTATAAGAATGATTATACGTCGTGAAATTCATTGCTCTTGCAATACGCAAAGTCCCGATTTAAATAACGTTTTAAAAATTTATCAACATTGTACGGTTTAACTTAATCAATATTCGGACGACTATTTTTATCGTTAATTTTCTGATGCATTTTGTCGAACATAAAGACCAAGGTCCAATCTGGAAGACCTCGAGAATAATCGCAAAATAAATGCAAAAAGAAAAGACTTTCTCTCTCAACAAATATTTACTTATATACTAACACATGTTTACTTGTTACAAATTTAATTGTTCATTACTAGAATTAAATCACTCTTGCGTAAACGTAAATCTCGCGCTTAGCAAGAGCTAGTGAAGTCCCACATTGGTGCTAGGTCTTCCGCATATGGACCCCATGTCGTCATTAATTTCAGCTCTCCTCGCAAATAAACGCCAACGAATGTAACGGCGCTTCTTCACCGAAGTACGGAAGAGTATGACGTGCGAGTACCGCCCGGCGTACTTGGCATGGTACTTGGCCTGCGCGAAGTTATTTACATCCCCGTGGAATAATAAAGTCTGTTGCCGATTGGCCGGGTATTGCGCAGGGGCGGCACGCTGCGCCTGAGTTGATACTCACGTCCCGCATAAGTCTGCGGTATTCCGTTGGTGTAGACACCTGGATCCGAGCCTGCTGGCTGGCCGTTCGGCGTTTGAGCGGCCATGTTAAAATTGGGCATCGTTGGCGACGGTAACGACGGTAGTGCTCCGTTAACCGGTTGCCCTGTGCCGGTACCTACGAGCAAACCTGATCAGTACACACCGGTTACCCTCTTGCACTTTCAACACCAACCACGTTCGTCCTTTACACCGAAGCATCTGATCGGAACGCAGTCTCTAATTTCTTCCTCTATACTTTTTTTTTTTTTCATTTTTCCTCTGCTATAAATATAACATAATTGATTGGTTGTGAGAAAGGACCGTTAATGATCCGTATGTCTCGCAAGGCATTTGAAGTATCGAATACACTACGAATCATTGGATTGTTGATTTCATAAATCAGAATGTTATATCGAGTTAATATCATAGAGATATCGATTCGGTCAAAGAGTTACGTTTAATTTTTTTCTTCCTCTTTGTACACCGCTTTGTGCACCGTTCTTGCGATGTGATACTACGGTAACCGTATGCTTGTTCTTGAATTACGATTTTAGTTTCCACGAAAAGGTCGTGTTTATCAATAATAGTTTGCCTCCTGTCTGTGTCAACGATACGATTCGGATCAGCGATCAAAGCCTTGCATTGCGCTAATAACGCATTGATCGCGTCGGTGACCAACGTTTGGTATCACGTCAATATGACTCAGTGTAGGTAATGAGACATAATTATGTTTGGGCAACATCTGTTATTTCTGTCGAGTTAGCACGTGACTATACGGGAAATACGCAGTCAAGGGCACACGATAATGATAATATCGGCGCGTTTAATCGATCGCAACCTTTACAAGCATGATTGTCAATAATAATTTTCGTTGCGAAATAAATTCAAGTTCTTTAACCCTTTGAAACTGACGCCAAAATCTGTAACACGATTTATTAACGATGGGTCTATAAAATCCATTTAATTTATGTTAATTAAAAAGTACTAATTAATCTCAAGGAATCAAAATAACTCGTATAAAAAAGAATTAATATTAACTCTTAAACGCCATACTATGGAAACAACACACTTGGGTATACTCAACAATTTAATTATGATATATGTTTTCATAAAAATGAAAATATTGTAAACAATTTTTTTCTATTAAAAAACCAGATATTAAGGAACATAACGGTATCAAACAAAAATATATATCTTTATTAATAAAATTTATTTACTAATAAAAATTATTTAAAAAATTATAAGTAATGGAAAAAACATTTAAAAAGCATTGAAAAAAATCAGATATGTTGTCCTGAAAAAGCGTTTAAGAGCTACATTTAGTATATTTCAACAAAAATAATCCAAATGCAAATGTAACATAAAGAAAATTGAATTATTTAACATTTTTTTATACAAAAAAATTTGTAATTAAATATGTCCAGAAAGTTTAAAGAAACATCACAATTTGCTGTTAAAGAGAAGTAAGCACTGATGCTTTAATACTTTCGAATCGGGTCTACAACCATGAAATGTGAAAGATCAGGATGGAAAAGAATCTCGATGCCTCGATATCACTCGGATTACGTTGCATGCGCTCACATCGTCGCTCGGTTACGTGCATCGGATATGACGATACGTCGTAAACTTAAACTTCTTGGCTGCACGATACACGTCCCGGCATTGTCGATTCGGTTAGACAGGTCAAGCGATTTCTATACAAGGTGAAACTTACAGCGATTGCGAGAGCACCGTTCGATACTATAAAATACATCGCGCTTGCGATCAAGGTTTCTTCATTAAACTTTGCATGATACGAATTCCATAAAACTGTAACGAAGCTACACGGAGAAAAACGGTTTTACTAAAGTATATCTAAAAATTTATGCCTAAATTCTAAACAGAATCGTAAGGCTCGTAACATATTCCTGTAAGACTTGTAAGAATTTTTAAGTGCTTTATACGATAGCTTCTTACTAGTCATAAAATTTATAAAAAATCGTAGATATTTACGAATAATCGTACGTCTTACGATACATACGCATAAAATTAGAATACTAGTTATGAGGTCTTATACAAGTTTTACGATAACACGTTACGAGTCTTACGATTCTGCTTAGAATTGACCCATTAGGAAGACACAGCCCTGCAAATAACTTTGTTGGACTAAATAATTATGTAGATGCCCAAACTAGTTGCTAGAATGTCGAAACTTTGTAATGTTTCTCATAATAATGCTTGAGCCTAATTATTTTGATGACCCAAATTATTTTCAGATCTATACTCTTTAAATTTAAATCAGTGGATAATCACTGATATCAGTCCCAAGTATGCCGGTATGGTAAGTGAAAGTGAAATTCACAGTGAAATTCAATAACAAAATCAATGAAACATGGAATTCCTAACCTAGCTATCTTTTTTTTAATGTATAAATTCAATGTATATGGTATTGAAACTGAGACATGCAAATATCGGTATTTTAATTATAAAATGTTTATTATAATAACTTCCTTTTCTTTCAGTTAAATTTCACTGATTATTCAGGGCCAAGCATATCTGCTGGTAATTAATGATAATCAGTGATTTCTGATTCAGATTTAGAGAGTAGCTTAATTTTTAAATACTTTATCGCAAAATTGCTTTTTCCGTGTACATCTCAAGCGAATTCCTAAACAATTTGAAGTACTACTTTTCTGAAGTAATTTTATTTTGAATTCTATATTATTGACGACTTTTAGTCCGTGCAACGATTTGAAATGTATGCGATTATTGGTAGGATTACGGCTACAGAATGATTCCCGAGCACGCAGATCTATCTGCCAATGCCACCCTGTATACACGCAGTTTGCGGTTATGCCATCGTTCCGTCGAAAATAAAAGCTCGCTGCTACAGTAATCTTCAGTGCGGAGTAAAGCGGACGGACGCGGCGAAGCCAGGGGATTCGGCGGAGAAATAAAATATTATTTCCCTATCAAACGGTATTACCTTCCGCTCGACGAGACTCGACGTATAACGGAGCCGATTTCCGCGCTTACTTTACTTCTCTACAGCGCTTCGACCTCTCCCGCTGTTTCTTGCATTGCCATGCCGAGTGAGAAGGAAAACGGAGAAGAAAGGTGTGAGCGAAGAAGGGGCAAGGAAGAGGCATTTCTTTAGCTTCCTTCTTCTCCTACAACGAGCTTTCGATAAAGTTTTGCGGTACCAGCAATATCTCTCGCTTGAGTCACGTTCGATGAAAATGTTGTATTGATTTACGAGTCGGTTATAAGGCAACCGACTGCACGCCTCGTCTGTCGCAAGAATCCAGAGAAACTATAGAGAAGCAGACCAGGAAGAAAGAGCGACCGGACGGGAGATATGTTTTATATCACTAAAATCGGACGGCTATCGAGTTGATGGCGGATAATTCGTGTGCCCTCGAATGTTTCTTTCCTTTTCCGTAAAATGCACGTTTTATCGGATTGGTGCTGTTAACTCGAAATTGATTAAATTAAATTAAAAAAATTTTTCCACGTAATCTTCGTAAATTGTGTCATCAAAATAATATCTTCTTTATATCCAATATTAACAAGGTATATACATTATATTTTCATTATGTTCAATATATTTTGTATTAACTTAACAACTAAATAATCACTTCCTGATTAAACGAGAATACTGCAATTGACAAATGTGCCAACAATATAAAAATATGTTAGAAACATAGAGAAATATATTCGCGAGAAAAGATTGTAGTTTATAACAACATATAGATATTCTTAAGTATAACAAAAGTTTCTATGAAAAAGTTTAGCTTGAATTGAATTTCTCGAAGAATACATCATATTTCGGAGACGACAAATGAATTCTTTTCTCACGAATATTTGCGCGTCGTGAGGTATTCTAATTTTCTTATACCCAGTTTCATCAATGTAAGATTAACTTTAATCTCTCAGTTTAATTTACTTTTTATCTTTTTCTAATTTTTAGGATTAGAAAAAGATAAACAGCAAATTAAATTAAGATTAAAGTTAATCTACATTGATGGAAACGGACATCAGCTGAATATTCTTACCAGAGGTTGGCGGAACCACCGGATTTGGCATGCCATTCAATGTATGCGGTAATTGTCCAGCCAACGCGGTCATTGGATTGATGTACGTTCCTTGTGCAGTCGCTGCTGCCATGAGCGCTGCTTGCTGCTACAATATAAAGAGAATATCATTGTCAGAAAAAACATTTTCTCTTGAATTATATATGTAGTTCTTCTTTATTATTATTTTAAATATTACTTAAAAAAAACACATGATTTTGAAAAACATTTGCGAAATCAAAGTTATCTCTTTTGTTAAGAAAAACTATCTGAATTTAATGAAAATAGGAGTATGTGTACCTGAAACATTAGATGAATATTCATATTATAAATATGATATTATAAATAGAAAAATTTCAAAATGACATTTATCCTTTACTGCAAACCTGGGAAAAATTAAACCGCGAAAGGTGATTATGAGGGACCTCTTTGCATGCCGGCGTTAACGCGATGGCATCGAGTTTCGGCCGATCATTTCCGAGAGTAACGAGGGACGAACCATCGCAGATTGTGAGTCGTGGTAACGAGGACAACAAGGCGGTAATGCGGTAACGCGAGAGCCATTAATGGTAACACGACCCACCTGAGCGTAAGCGTTGTAAGCGCCGAAATGATTGAAGAAGGGGTTAAGGATGCTCATGTTCCCGGCCATTTGCTGCATGCGTCTTATTTGTCTCTCTTTATCAGTGTCTGCAAATTTTACCACTATGCTGGATGACGCACCCTGCAACAGATAATGCATATTGTTGATTTGTCGCTTTTACAACGTCGGAATTTTTACAGTACGACACAATTTTATGATATACGAGAACTACAATGTACATTTTAACGACCTCCTCAACGAGCTTTATTATTTATAGCATGTGTTATGACCAGCGTACGGGAAAACTGTTTTAATTGGGCTTTTATAAGTAAAGGAATAATTGGAGATTCTTTTTTATACTGCTATATTTCATAATGGTATCTAACATTCGCTTTTATTTGATAGACAGCAGAATTTAAAGCAATTTCTCATGTAAGTTTAATTAATAGAAACCGTCGAATAATTAGGAACCGCATGAGGCTTTTCTACGCATTTCAACATTAATAATTCTATTAAAATTCGATGATTGTATAGTCATAATTGTCGAAAAAATATATAATGCAATGTAATATATCGAATCTGTCACACGAGAAATAAAATGGTATCATATATACTCTCTAGACGTGAAAGAGCATAGATGTAGGTACAAAACGTACGAGACGAACAAGTGATTCAAGATCCTTTTGCATTAAAAAAAAGACTTCTTCTCTTTCGAGATGCTCGCGAGGATATGTAAGGCGATGACGTTCTCACGATGTCTAAAATATAAATGGAAAGGGGCAACAGGTGGTCAGTGGCCATTGTTTTTTTTTGCATTCGAGCTCCCGGTGATACATTATATTCACGTCATCAATGCAAATGCTAGCTAGGCGTTCCTGAGTTTATATAACGTTTGTAGTGTTATAACTCGCGTAACGAGACTTTCAGCTTTGGTCACGCGACTTTGCATGGCGCATTTCATCGCGCTTTACTCGCGTGCATCTCTTCTCACTTTTTTCACGTAGCTTTTATAAGCTTTGTTTCAACGTCCCTCTTCGGAGAGCCTAAGATGTGATCGCAATGAAAAAATGTAATCTATTTGTAAAAATATTCATATATTTCTTCCCAATTAATTCACAATTTTTATGATTTTCTCTGATATAACTTTGATACGACGTTTATTAGTTTCGTCCTGATTTATGCATTGACATTAAATCGATACTATTATGATAAACAATCTCTTATATGTAAAAATCTCATGCCGCACACAAAAATTGATAATAATATAATGAGAAACTAATTTCATACGAAATTGTTGTTCATGTTAAAAATAAATTCACTAGATAAATAAATGCGTTTATTTCCTGAAAATTCTTACAGTAATCAACCTTTATATTATAAATGTATAAAACTCGTTAATTAAACTATAAACCCGTAATAAGGCTAGTATACTGATTAAATTAAATTGTTCGATAACATGTTATTAAAATTTAACTTAATTAAAAATAGATATAAGATACAGGATCTTAACCAATATTTAAAAATATTAGATATATTAAATTAGATATATTAAATTAGATCCATTTAAAAAATAATTAAATTTAATTAGTTAATTAAAGAGATGGATAAAATGTTGCGTATAAAATCCTTAAAATTATCAATCATTTCAGATAAATTTAATCATACATATGAAAATAACATAGATAAAAATAGTATAGACATTGAAATTAAAAAAGGAAAAATTTGATCTCTGGCGTGACTGTTATTACATTGACAACAATTGGAGCGTATATCGATAATCGGTCGACTGTCTTCACCCTGTGGCAATTCTCGACAAAAGGCTCAGGGCCGTTATTCATCGGCGAAGCGCATACGCTGGCCGGTGCAATTGCTTGTAATTTAACGATGAGGACACAGTCAGAGTCGGACCGGTAACGCGATATATCCGCTTGACAGATTTTCACAGAACGTCACCTTGTGATACATCGTATCCCGTTCCTATTAGATCGAACGAGACGTCGCTTCGGTGATTTCAAAGACAATCCTGACGAAACGTTTTCAACATGTGCATGCAACCTGGCACTCCCGGTAGTCCACCCTGACATTCTCGTTGTAATGCATGTGCTACTATGCGTCGAGGTGTGTACCTATGTGCGTTAAATGCTCGCCTCTAAATTGAAAGAGAGGGCGATTTTGTGCGACGCCAATCGACGCTGTCAGAAACACTCGCTCGTGTCGCCGCGCCAAATTTTGCTTTCATTATTTTTACTTTTTCTCCTATGTCGTTTTTGACCCGAATGGGCGTTGACGCGGCAAACAAAATCACGCTCAGCGAACAGCTTTTAGAGAAAAGCTCTTCTACCGTTTTCTCTTATTGTACCCTCGTAGATTTCATCTAAATGTGTAATGCGAGCGAACCATCTCACTCTCATAGGAGCGAACGTAACTTCCGTTAATTTTCGGAATATTACATGAACGGAATATCTACATGAACGAAAGTGAGTCAAACAAAGACGAACGAGAACGAACGTTCATGTCTCGCGTTTTGAAATACGCGTACCTCGAAACTGAGAGATACAGCATTATATAATCGAAAATCCAGAACAGACCTGGACTGCGTCATCCATGTGTAAAATTGATAGACAAAAATGAGAGAAGTAGGACGCAAAGACGGTCAGTCTCTATCTGTTTTTATGCTTTGTCTCTCTCTCTCTCTCTCTCTCTCATTTTTATCGATCAATTACACATGGATTAACATAGTCCAGGTCTGTTCTAGGTCTTCGGTTATAACGCTGTATCTCCAAGTTTTAATCACATTTGACCACATTTGATGCACTATTTAGATACAGAGTTTATACTGTATGTTTGGTTATAACGAGCTTCGAGTCGATAATACACAGATACAAGGTCGAAGATTCAGAAGGTTACCGTGTAACCTCCTACGCGAGGTCGCGGTTAAAAATCATCGTCTTTTTAATCCGCGGTTTCACCTTTGGCAACACAAATACCAAATACGCCAACACGCCGTATTTAATATTTGCGAGCGCTGAAGGGCTTACAATACACACGGGCACCTCGATTATTAAAAGTTCCGTTCGCGGTCGGAGCTCGAACGAGGTCAAACGCGCATACAACCGCGAGCGTCGCGAGAAAATCAGCGACGAGCTTGCCGTATACAAAGTCGTAAAAGTTTCCAAGAGTGGATGTAACTTTCCGTGTTACTGTAACTACAACTAATATTGGGAGTTTCGTGCGATATTCCTCCCTTTTTGTCTCTCAGCTATACGCCTCTGCGTTACTCCAAAGCTTTACAAAGAAGCAAAACTGTGAAACGTTAAGATAACTTTACGTTCTTTAAATGCTTGTTTGCTTTCGATATTGTAATATTGAATCTGTCTAAAATCTACCGATTTCCCAAATTATTTAATAAACGACGCAAATTATTTAAATAAGAAACTTCGTAATATTTTATTCAAATATGTTCAAGTTTTTAAGTATTTTTTGTAGCCTTGAACAAAGTAATCAAAAGATGTATAATACAAAGAAGTTTTGTCTCTTTCCTGCACATTAAAATTCTTTCATTCTTTTTCCAGTTGTAATTTTTTCGTATCTAAAAGAATCGAGGGAGCTCTAAATTGGAGTTCGTGTTTTTCGCAAGAACGAACTTAAATTCGTTAAAAGTAGCGATGATTGTCATGTATGGAAGTCTATATATTTTCTCTTTTCACAGACAGTTTGTCGAAACATTTTCGTTGAAAATTAATTGTAATAATTACGAAAATCTTTATAGCGTATAAAGAACTTCCGAGCTAATTGCAAGACTTTTAAGTTCGCCGAGCACATCGCACGCTCTAAATATTAATGAGTTCGAGGTCAGTATTGACGCAAAGAAAAAAAACCGACAAAAAATTCGAAACGTCGAATTCCCGAGTAGATGCCACGGTGTGTGTCTATCCACGCGCGTCTATGTTACACCCTTTCGTGTGAGAAAAATCGTCGAGCCGCGCTGGTTACACGCCACTGGTGAACGGCATCGACGCATGCACGTCTGAAAGATAATTTGTCTCGCGTCGACAGTCTCGAGCTTCGAAGCCTTGTGCGCCACGCAGGTGTAACGTAGGTACCCATAAGGTGTATGTGACATTTACGCGAACACATATGTACGACGGTGCGCACGTGTGTGGCATAGAGAAGATGAGGCTAGAACGAGGCGAGACGCGGTCGGGGTTGCAAGGGGAGGATCGACGAGGTCGTATCGGAGCCAGTGAAGCCGAAGCCTCATTATTGGGGGATTACGGTTCATTAATTCCGATCCAACGTTCTGAACTACACGCGGAAAGGAAAAGCCGTCCTCCCGAGAGCCGGGGGGTATCATGCGGAGAACGTTTGAAGCCGCCGCCGCCACCGCCGCTTCCCCTTGTTCGTTATGTCTATCCTACGTGTCGCCCCCATTAAAGTTGCCCCTTTAAAAATGTCGATATTAAACCGCGTGCTTTTTCTTCCATTATGATTTCGTGAGCCGACGTATCGTGGGGACTCCGCGTTTGATGTTTCATCCATGCGTACGACGTTGTCTGGTCGAATTTCGTTCGGACTTGTCAGCCTTACGCCCTTAGGGCTAGAGGAATCCGTTGACGATTGATGCTCTTTATGTCTATTATACCCGTTGGCGTTTTTAATACTCTCTCAGCGTATTTCTCATTAACTGCAGATACCGACCATGAGTCGATTGAGAGCTTCAAAATAAAAGTTGATAAAATCTCTGTAGCAGGTACTTGGACGAACATCTCAGCGTTGGAGCTTAGCTCAGAGAGCCACAATATTGAGCAGGCCTTGCCAACGGAATGAAGCAATTACCTGCTGATTGGAGGCTCTCACGTTAGCCGCACCATCACACTTGCCAATCCGTTGGACGGTAATTTCAATAGATTCAACTGGAACCACAAGACTGACCGGAACGCCGATTGCCCCTCGTCCGTGATTCTCTATCGAATCGAAATACAGAAGCGAGCGGTTTAATTCGTCGATGTGTGTCGCAAATTACAAATCGCTTCTGCGATCCTTTTAAATGTCGACAGAAAAGAACTAATTGGAAAATCGTTGCGTGTAAAACTTGAAATCTGTCAAAGTTATCAAAATAATATGGACAGATTTAAAGCACG